ACACACACACACACACACACACACACACACACACATATATATATATATATATATATATATCTGAATACCCTTGTCTTCTGTTTTAACTGCTATCTAAACTATTGCTGCCCCCATGAGGATAAGGTTGTCGGCTCATGTAAACTTTCTTGCTCTGGGCTGGAATGCCGTATGCGCTGATTTGAGCACTGACGTCAGCTACCTCAAGCAAGTCGAATCGAATAATATTGTACAATGTATATCATGCCTAGAGGTGCGGTACTAATTTCAAAATCCTAAAGCAAACTGGATAAATAATGTACTATGATGGAATAATTACTTTAATCAATTGTTATGGCAAAAAAATATTGGAGACATGAGTGATCACACAGATACTCTATGATTATTCTCTCAATTGGTTAAATATTGACTCCTGCTGAGAGACCAATAAAAGTGTTGACTTTTGATTCTTGCCTGGCTAATGATTGAATGAATGAGGAGTCGGGGAGGCGGGGGCGGTTGGAGCACATTCCCTCACTGTGAGGGGAACTAACGAGTGCACTTTAACATGAATGCAACACAAACGTAGCTTGACATGCAAGCGGACTTCTCTGTATACAATTTTGCCAAGCGATAAGGGGTAAGAGTAGTAAATCGTGTGGTCAAGGTGGCGATTTGTTCCCCAAATTTTGGGAATATTTTTTGGAGAGCGGAGGTGAAGATCACAAGCTTAGCACAGCAGTGCCTCTGCCGCTGTGCAGCAGTCAGAAGTAGGGCATTGCTCCACAATAACACCCATAATAAATAAAATCAAAGTTCAATATAAATACACAAACTGAATAATTCATGTGCAAGAACGACATCAGGAAAAAATAGTCTACGTTATTGCAAAGACAAAAAAGCTTTTCCTCAATGACAGAGGAAGCAAAGCCGACAACAGTGGGTGTCTAATCAGGCTTTCCTTTCATGCTGGCACCTGTGGTAACGAGAATGCCTCTGCCATCTGCATATTGCCTCCTTGTTAGGCGTATTTGGCAACTCAGGGTTGCAGAAAATGTCATCTCATTCTGTCTCTGGAGTACACAGGGAAAGTTGATTGAAATCCAAAACACGCTCTGTTTCATCACTTAAAATTTGAGAAACAAGTTACATTTTAAAAAATGGCACAATTCTTACAGTCTGGACCTTAAAAATGAACGGGAGCTGTTGCTCCCAGAGCATTTTTGTATTTTATTTGCTTTGGTCCACAATTTGATGTTATGATGATTTCATGATTTTTGCAGCACTTTTTGAGCTCCTGGAGTGACACTTATAGGTTAGTCCCTGGTCCACATTTTTACTTAGAGTACACTTCTCACTATCTTTTGAAAGAGAGGTAAAAAAGAGAGGATGTGCAGGATGGAGAAGGTATAGAACAGTGGAAGGAGTTATGTGTGACAGAAGAGAGCATGCTAAAGTGAAAGAAAAAAATTCTAGGACGGCACTGAGACCAGCCATTGCTGTATGCTTTGAACACTGTCGAAAGAGACGGAGCTGCAAGGTGGCTCAGTTGAAGATGTTGAGATTCTTTTCATGTGTGACAAGGATGGACAGGTTCAGGAATAAGCTCATCAGGGACACCACGAACCGAAAATTTGAGACCTTGCTTGTCTTGAGTGTCTCAAGATTGAAACAGACCAAAACCTTCGGTCACTCGGCAACCCGGTCTACCGGCTGAGCTACAGCCACCCAGCAAGACCAAAATGCTGTTGTTGCCCTGCTGGTAGCTGGTGACACCAGTAAGACTGCAGCTGGTCACCATCTATCACCAGCTCTTGGCAGGGCCCCAGCAACATGCTGGCCCTGCTGGGCGGCCCGTGACTCAGTTCATAGAGCGGGTTGCTCAGTGACCAAAAGTTCAGCTGTTCATGTCTTGGCTGTTTTGTTTTGCTCCTGGTGACACCAGCAACAAAACACAACAAAACTCATGCTGATCTCAGTTATATTTTCATTTAACGGTGTGTGTGTGTGTATGTGTGTGTGTGTGTGTGTGTGTGTGTGTGTGCTACGGGAGTAAACCCCTAACGAAAAATCTGTGTTCCGGGGATTCACACTGGGCAGGTTCCCGATAGACTGGATTTCTGGCAGTCCCCTGCAACCGCACTCACTTGAAGGTCGTCTCGAGTCTTTTCTCCTGCCACTGGAATAAGGTGTGTGTGGCCAAGACTGTGGGGGGAGGAATTGCGCGCCCCGCCCCTCACACTAAATCCATTAGCAGCGCAGGCTTCAGCTTCCACCATAGAAGTCCTCTGGCGATGGGACAAAAGTAACGGGGGCAGGTCAAGGATGTGACTGGAAGCTTCTAGCTTGAATCCTGCACAGAGGCGGCGCAGGCATGATGGTCGTCGTGAAGATGGGATGGGACAACATCCTCCTTCGGCAGCATCCTGTGCGTCTGGGCAGACCTATTTAGGGTCCGCACTGCCCACCCCTTACAGGGGAAGGGTCTAGAAAAGGTGACCCAAACATTGCTTGTTCCCCCCACACC